TGGGTTGGTGTGTGTGTTAGTGTTCATAAAAAAAAGATAAGAATCACATCCGCACCCAAATTTGCAATCATAAGAGTATTCTTACGAGTGAGTAAGAACACGTTTAGGAATTAATATGAATTGCTAACATGACAAGCAATAGATCTCTATTTCATAGATATTTTCTTATCGTTTTCTAGCAGTTCGTTTGATTTAAGTGAAAGTAGAACGGAAAAGAAAGAAATCTGAAAGAAGTTTTTAATAATTTCTGATAAATAAGAAGATCAGTGATAGATAATTGGTTATATTTGACAAATAAATTAAAAATGTGCTTTCAAGCTTCTTTATACAGCCTTTTCATCTACCTACTGCCTATAAGTATTATTTAAGGTACGATAATATTTCTAGTACATTTATATATGATCTAAGTTTTTCAGTTTGATACACAATTTTAAAATATATACTTAGAAGACACTGTATTTCTGTATTGTTCGTTTTCAAGCTTGTTTCATTAATCATCGATGTTAAATGCATCGACGCCCAGTTTCTTTTTTATATTTTAGTATTTTGCGTTATTTTAGTCTTACAAGTATATTAGACATGTGTTTATATTAAGCATAGCTGACACACTAATAGAAGTGAATAATGCACTAGCAATGCTGTGTGAAGGTGAAGACTGCTTTCAAACTAAAAGGATGGGGAAAAATAGCGCATATTATTTTTTTTTCTTTTTCTCCGTTTTCTCTCGTTTCTTGACAGTTGATTATACAAGGATGTGCATTATTTGTTTTTTAATAGTTACAAAACTACGCTGTGAAAATAAAAAGAAATTGTCTCTTTCTGCTGGATATAAAAATTTTTTTTTTTAATTTTCTTTCTCTGATTCTATTGTTATTCTAGACTTCTTAAAAGATAATTATTCGATTCCAATAACATCATCATGTCATCACATATTACTGATATTGAAGGTGATTGGAATATTGTTGATTATCCCGAACATCCTGGATATGTTAACTGTAAAATTGAAATAAAGGGTCATGGTCTAGATCCGAATGTGTTTAAGCTTAATATGCACGCGGTGAATGATCTAAGTTGTATTTTGAAACATAATTCTACGACTAATCAATGGGAAATTTCTGATTTCTTTTCAAGAGAAATGAATGGTTCACCAGAAGAGATGGATAAAGAAGATGTCTTCAGAAAATTAATCACTAGTTTACAAAAATTAGAAGTTCAAGACGAACAACAATTGATTATTACAACAAATGATAATGAACAAATTCGATTAGAACGTTTGCCGTAGTAGTGTCATGATTAATGACAAAGAATGTATTTTGTTTTAATTTAGCAGACAAAGCAATAGACAATGAATATTTTGATTGTATAGCTTACTAATATTTTTTATATTTATTCAACTAACATATTTAATCATTTTAGTTAGTAATTTCATAGAAATAAATAAAATATAAGTTTATTATCGTCGAAATAAGAATTTAAACTATGAATATTTTGCTCTTATTAATCCAATAGGATATCGATGAATGATGTGAAAAATCAAATTTAAGAAAACTATTGAAAATTGCAAAAAATAGTTTGAATAGAAAAGTATTAAAATAAAAAGTGTTTTTGAAAGATTTCTTTTTCAGTCTAGAAGAAATGTAATCGATAATATTGTTAACCAATGATGACTTGAGTATTTTTTATTTTAAAATTTGATATTAGTAATATAAATTGATCCCAATGTCATTTACAGCGTAACTATCAAAATTGATCACAGTTATCTAACAATGAAATTTGTGTCTTACTCGCGCTGTGATTGACTTTCATTCTTGACATATTCAACAACAAAGCTGCCTTCCAATCAGATGTGCTATGTAATAATAATTTCAATAAATTCTTTGAGATTAATCACCAGTAGTTGGCTGTCAAATCGATTGTCATAGCTGGTCGACGATGTTATGTAAAAAAAAGATTATGACATATACTATATCTTGTATGCAAGACTTCTATTTCAATCCAATGCAATGACTCGCTCAACATTTCAATACGGCTTCGGCCGAATCGGCAGTGTGTACCATGTCATAAGAGCTACAGTACTATAGGAACACACGAATACGAAGGCCAAGATTTTCTTAAAATACTTCTCTTTTATTTGAATTCTTCAACAAAAGTGACATATTGAAAACAATTTCTTATTAATAACATTTGCATCTACGATTGACGTCTGGGTATACGGGTCATTTCTTCGACGACACACCCGCACATACCCTCGAAGTGATGCTAATATTCCATATGAATCATCTATTTATTCCACAGCACCTGACAATACAACTATTTATGATTATGTAACTAAAATCGTTGTGACAGCAGAACCTATTCAGATTAATGTTCACTTCTCACTGATCAAAGCACTAAAATTGAGATATTCAATGTCGCTCGAGACTCTATTGTCTATAGTCGATCTGTCGTAAGTAGAACATTGAACATACTCATCAGATGCAGAAGTTTCATTAATATTTTTCACGGGATTAATGCGACTACTCTGTTGAAGAGATATCTTGCTGTTTTCCATCTGTTAAACGTTTAATTGTACCAATCATTGAGTCAAGATCAGCTATGATTCATCGTATTGATGAATTCAAATAACTAACGAGTACATCATTTTTTTACATTTTTATCCAAGACAAACTTATAACAATACAAATATAAACTTGATTCTATCTGATTTTTCTATTAAAGCATTTCATTTTCTTATCTCCTATTGCATGGTCATCACGTTTATTTTGCCTATCGGTTTGCTTCAATAATAAGTTCACGTTGAATTTAATGCATTGTCTATACCTTCTATACAAATTGTAGTTTTAGTCCAAAAAAGGTTTCATAAGAATGAAATGACAAAATATATTGGTATTTGCATCGGACTAAAATAATCCTGACTATTCATTATCGATGAAATCTTCTAATGAGAGAGATGACAACAAAACTTAGCCGGTTGGGACGGTTTGTAATTGATGCCAGTTTTGATTGATCATTCCACATTGAGTTGACGATCAATGGGAGACAACAGACATGTGGATTTATTTGGAAAAAGTATTCTCTTTGTTCCACTTCGAAGTTAGTTTTATCGAAGAATCAATCGATATTTTAGTGAACATATCGTTCATGGTTGCGAATATATTGACTTGCACCAATAAGCACGACAATAAATCCATTGATCATGTTTCACATTGTGATCGGTACTTACGCGTCGCGTCAATCGTTACAACATGGCTAACAATCGAGTGGACACTTAGTATAAAACAAATATCGTCGTGTTCACGTGAATCTCATACAAACTTGTTAATTGATTCAACTGACAATGAAAATTTCGTTGATTCCATGTCACGACTACTGATCAGTATGATTAGTGTTGACTTTATCCAATCGATGAAGTTCGATCCTAATTTTGATAGTTGTTGCTGTCATAGGATCGATGTTGATCGTCAACATGAGAAGAGAAATAAAGTTCTTCGACCATTAGATTCGAATCAAGACTCTTTCCATTGATGTTGAATTTTTAAGTAAAGGACTTCGTTATCGGTGTGATTGAAATTCTAGTTCGATCTATCTAGTTTTATCAATAACGCACAGTAGGCGAGTTTTATACTTCATACACAATCACTTTATTCCAGTTTGAGGACGAATCTGATATTGTGAAAGATTGTAGGTGTTAAATGACCAAAAAACAAGTGCCGATTGTTCTTTCGAATTGCAATCTTTAAGTAGTGTTAATAAAGTAGAAGTTGTCGTTTCTGTGACCTCACAAAGAAAGAAACATAATCAACATTTACAGTAATAGCTGTTCAGTTCATCGCCAATATCATTTGTGTTCAGTTTAAATGATTTCTGGCAATCCTATAGTGCCTGTTTAACAACATCTTCATATGATTACAGGTGATGGTCATCTCTTTGGTACAGATTTCATTTTTATCGACTGATTTCAAAGTTTAACAACGATGTTCAGAATGATGTTAGTTCTAACTCAACAGTACGATAAATAACTACCAGCTTAAGATAGTTGTAAACTATGATATTTTTCTAACGATCTTGTCCTATGAGACGGGAACTATAACAATCAGAAACTATTGTAAGGTTAACAATTGTACAAAATAGAGTCAGACATCTCTAATCAGCAGCTATTCGAGTAAGAGACAATGTTCCAATAATCTATTCATTTTCTCCCACTTGTATGCCATATTTTGAGCTGATATCAGTCCAATCTTGATCGACTGTGATGTTCATTGACTTTACAGTGTACTTGCATATAGAGAAACTATTTTAGATCAAATGTAGATACTAGTGACTAATCCATCTTTCGAAGATATCTAAGATTAATTGCACGAACAGGAGTGTCAGTATGTGTGATGTAGTGAAACGTAGATTGACTTCCATACGCACACCCTCAACATGAGCAAAGTTTTATTTCAGTATTTAAGAAACAATAAAATAATGAACCGAAAAAACCTTGAAATGCCATTAAGAAATTTGTCACCAAGCAGTATAAAGCCACCAAAGGAAGTGATTGATGATCTTAAAAATAAACAACAAGAATATTTTTTTTTTATTCAGTAATTTTTACCTGGTGACACAAATATGTTAAGTATATGTGTAATACTCAATAAAAATGATAGAAAAATAGCTGGTTTTATTGCTTTTCTATAAATATACCGAACTTAAATATATTGATATAGAAATATTTTCTAATTACCTAACAAATTTTGTATTCATAGAGCTTCGACGATATTCCCTAAATGTTTTGATATGAAAAATTAATGAAATAGAATAATTAAATTATCTTTCATAGTATTAAGATACAAAAAAAAATAAATTTATTCCATTGTTTTGACTGATGTATAGCGGATATCACATAGGATAATGTATCATGAGATTCTGAGTGAATAGTTCTATATAAATTGAGCTTTTTGAGTAAAAAATTTCTTTTTATTGTGCTGTTTTTTTCTGAAAGAGTTAATTATTTTCACTTACGCATCACGTATTTGTATCTCTGAACCGTATCGAGTTTTAAGAAACAGATTTCGTATTACATTCAATAAGACAATAAAATTTATCTAGAAAAAAAAAACAATTTTATTTTATTTTGAATGAAACTAAAATAAACTTACAATCATTACTACATATCGAGGCCCATCAATCATCCGAAAATATTTAAGATGTTGATAATTTTCCCAACATTTATGTCTTAAAGTAATTAATTAAAGTTATTATCTTATATTATTTCTTTAAAAAACCTTACTTTTTACCATGTTGTTTAATAAACATAATCATACTCCAACCTAATGTTATACAAAATGGTACAACTATAAAAAAAACAAACAAATGGAAAAAACATTGATCGAAGAAAAAAATCAATTTTTTACACCATCCAAGTATATAAAAATATGATGTTGTAGAACTCTTGTAATATGGACGAAATGTTATTACATTATTTAAATAAATAGCTTCAGAAAGCATCCACATAAACATAGATGTTATACTAAGTTGTGAAAATATGAGTATTAGTGGACACATATTTTTCAATATAGATGAAGTTTCATGAATATGAATACTTTCATCAACACTACATTGTATTGATTCTATTTGTGAAGAACTTTTAGATTTTTTCACTTGAATTCTAGAACAATTCAAAATTTAATAAATTCATAATCGATATTCAAATCAATACCCGTAATTAATTATTCGAGCGATTACTTGAATAAGTATTGTTAATAAAAGATTAAAATGAATTTTTGTATGATTATAGTAATGAGATCTATTTCTAAAACAACAAAACATTCAGTAAATACATTTTTCTTTTGATAAATTCATTTACTTCAAATTAAAAAAGATTATAAACGAAACAAGTATACTGATAAATGATACTGATAGTCCCATTAATTCAATAATACGCACAGCTTGAAAAATATCTGTATAAGGCTAAACAGAAAGAAAAACCATGGGGATATTTATAATTCGAATTAAAAATTAAATAAAAAGGTACTTTTCTTAGTTGAACTACTCTTATCATATAAAATTTCTTCACTGAATCCCATATATCCGGATAAATACAGGATTCATATGAAACAGATGACCATTCTCCTGTTGAAAGGCAATCTCGAGTGACAAATTCTATATAAATTATGGGAAAATTTTTTTATTAAAAAAACTCGAAAATACATACTGCTTTCGTCAACTCCTGGCATAGCCAATGATGAACATGAAATAGTAATTAAATGATTGGCACGAGTTTGTGGCCAACAGAGATTATCAAATAAACTGGGACAATATAATTCATTATTTGCTGAATTATTAGATAATAAACTTTGACTTGTTGACAACAACATCGAAATATTGAAAAGAGCGTATCACAACAAGTTCGATGATCGATTACCTTGAAAAGGGAAAAAAATGAAGAATGGACACAAAATTTTATAAAATATTTTTTAATTCAATATTATCGACACCTTATTGAAACTCATAATAAAAGGCTTTCAAATTCACCCTGAAATAGAAAGAATGTCTTTGTCATACCTTATTCAACTTAACGTTACTCAATATACACTTAGATAAATAACTATTTGTTACCTAATAAACTCTATTGAAGTTAATATTGCCTTATGATGTTTCTACATGTAATTTTCTGAAATTAACAAATATTAACAATAAAAATAACTCGATGTCAGCGGAGATAACATCTTATATCTAAATGTGTCGACTTAAACAAGCATATGCAGTTTCGGATAGATAACAGAAAAGAAAAATTCATAAACTAAAACAAGGAAACACTTTTTTTTATTAATGAGTAAAGTACTGCGACAAAAAAAAGATTGTAAATTTTAAACGAAAATAATATCTACATTTCGAACTTTAGACAATTATCATCATCCGGAAATGATTAGAGGAAAGTACATTAATACTATGCACACAAATTTACAATTAAAGATAAACGGATAACACAATTACAATGAGATAAAAAAATATAATAATTCCAATTATTATATTTTCTTGGTCACATTGTAATTGTGTTACCCGCTTATCTCTAATTGTAAATTTGTGTGTATAGTTTATTGTGTTTTCCTCAAGTGATTTCCTGATGATGTCAATTGATAATTGTCGAAAGTTCGGAATGTAAATATAATTTTCGTTAAAAATTAATAATGTTTTTTTTTGTTGCAGTACTTTACTTACTAATAAATCAGATTTTTCCAACTGCATCTTTCTCAAACTAAATGCTTTTTTTTTCTTCTATTATTATGGAAATAATCATCAGTACCAAAAGAAAATGGCATCTGATGCTTTTATCATTGAAATTTCGAAATAAAATTTTGATAAAAAAGAAAAAATTTATTTGTACACGAAGTATTATATATGGCAAAAACAGTGAAATTTTCAATAAGAACCGGAGAAAAGTGCTAATTAGGTCTTATCTAAATTGAATACAGTTCGATAAAGAAAGTTCACGGAGGCACCAAATACGTGTCATTTTGCTCAGAATTATTTACTCTGTCAAATAAAATATTTTCTCAAAAGCTTGGACTGAAAACCAAAACACTTGTTTGGGTATCTTGCTTATCCAGAAACTCTCATCGATAAAATTTCGTTGAATTTTTCAAACTGACCAATGCTTATACAGAATCCTTTATGATACTCAAATGTTTTCTATCTATTACCATCGAGAAGAAAACTCAAAAAATATAATTGCTCTCAAATTTCGTCCGCCACTATATGAAGAAGAAAGAAAATGACAAATCAATATGGCATGTACATGTATGATTGAAAAATGCTGAAAAGAAGGAGAACACATGCATACAGGTCATCATAATTCGTCGAGACTGAGATTCTAGAGTCATTTGATTTTACCAGTATTTACATGCATTTTTCTACAATTTATCTATAATAATTAAAAATCAGATTATTTAGGAATACGAAACTCGAGTGATGTGCAATGCAGGAACTAAGATTATACTTCAGTGGGATAAAGAGAGGAAAAAACAGCTTAGCATAGAAAGAGTTTCAATCGAGTTAGTCGTCGTCATCACTTATGTTGGATGTTGATGGTATTGTTATGGTTGTATTTACTCTTCGAGGAATAATAATGACCTACTCTTATCCTTTTACTTTTCATACGCTGATAATAGTAATTCATCGATTGGCTGTCTTAAAACACACATATAAAAAGAGAAAAAATAGATATGAATTCCTTATCGATATAATTTATGAATAAATATAAAAATCTTCATGTTTGTATTTAGAAATAATACACGAAAAAAGATAACAATAATTTGATATCATTATTATTAATGAAGAATTATACGATGAAATTATTCTCAATAGGAAATAGTTACTGATTATTTCTCGTTTTGTTGTTTTTTAATATAATCGCAATGAACTTCATGAATAGTGTTTTTTTTGTGAGAACCTGATCTTACTCTTGTAAAGAATATGACATATTATATGAAAAACATTTCATACAAAAGCAACTAATAAAATTCTTAAAAAATGTTTGAGAACAACACTTCAAAAATAATGAAATGATGCACATACCTACACTCAATACAAAATTGACAAGAATAGAACATGAATATAAAAGGAAGTGCATTCGCAATATTAGATTATGAATGTCTTTATATTCAAACGACTAAAGAAACACGGAAGCACACAAGAAGAAATAATTGTATTTTTTCGTTGTGGTTCGGTTTTTGTTTGACAGTTACTGAGAGTATAATATTAAACTTGTCTCTCTTAATAATGAAAAAGACAGTTTTATAACGAGGTAATGTGAGTGTGGGTTTGAATATTGATCCTATCTACATCCAAACTCACCCCAATCAAAATTATCCTTCTACGTTGAACTTGTCATTCAATGATCGTCATCTGTCATTCATTTTATCTTTCTCTTTTTTTTTCATACATATTCTTAAGAAATACCTGTTCGCAGTAATTACATTGAATAAGTGAGAATAATGTTTGCCAGTATTGTCAAATACTTCGAAAGCATTTGTCAGAGCTTTTCAAAAGTTTTTTTTTTTCTCATGAATTTGAATAACAAAAATCAAAACTGTATTTAAGTTAATTTTAAATACTTCTAGTTTCTGAAATTTCTTAACGAGAGTTATTTTCTACTAAAAAAAACGAAGTTCACAATATCAAGCATGATTAATATGGTATTTGGCTGCATATAAATTCTATGGTTCCTTGACATTTACGACCGATTGGATGTCGTTCATTGATCCAATATTGAAATCAATCAGTTTTTCAATTGCACTGATAAATTTGATTTGTCAAAACTGTTATTAAAAATAGAACAATTTCTTGATGAATCGATTTCCTTTAGTTTAATTGGAAGATCAAACTCTCAATTACAAAATTACGGAACAAAATTCGTTTCTCATTGATATATCTTGTGACAAAATGAGAAGAAGAAATCGATTTTGTCGTTGAAGAGCCGTCTTTTTTTTTTCAGGCAAATAAAAGAAAATCAACTTCATCTCATGCCAACAATAGACAACCATTCAATTGTATCGTATCGCTTGTAAATGTCTCCAATATTGGTAGCTGTGTTGTTGCCTTTGCTTTAAATCAGTTTGTTTTCATAAAATGTTTAGGAAAGCTTTTGTAAAATAATTATGTCTTTTTTTCTTTTATTTTCTAAGCTTTATACGCCAAACGTTTTTTTTTTTTGTAATTGTATATTATTATTTAGCCTACGAGTAGAGTTAAAATTATAAATTAACTAGCTACAAACGTAAAGAATGAATTTATTCTGAAAATGAAAACTTAAATAAATTCGAAAAATGATTTTTGAATTAGAAAATTAGGACTTAAATTTGGAATTTTTTGACGTCACATTTTTGAGGAAGTAAAAATTCATTGTCAAGTTCATATGAATATCTCTACAATATTGTTCTCTCTTTCTTATAATATATTTTTTCATTTATAATATATGTATACTGCGCATACAGATATGAAAATCAGATAAATATGTCTAGTAAAAGTTAAAGTATTCCACATCAATACGTTGTTTTATATGTCTGCTTCGTACCAGTTTGTGCAC